GCTAGCTAAATATTAAACTTGCTAGCTAAATATTTAAGTTGCAACCTAAATATTTAACTTGCTAGCTAAATATTTAAGTTGCAACCTAAATATTTAACTTGCTAGCTAAATATTTAACTTGCAACCTAAATATTTAAGTTAAATATTTAGGTGGCTAGCTAAATATTTAACTTGCAAGCTAAATATTTTACTTGCTAACTAAATAAGTTGCAACCTAAATATTTAACTTGCTATCTAAATATTTAAGCCCACTACAACAAAGTGTAACACAAGCCAGAGGTGCTGTAACGCCTGTAGGTTTAGTTAAAGATGAACATTATGTATAAGGCTGTTAATAGAGTGAGTTTAAAATAACAGATTATATCAGGTATGGTGTGTATTCAGTGTCAAGTGTTCAGCAGTTCTTTGCTGTGTGTATCCAGCACGGGTCAGGTGACAGGCCTCCAGAGGGGTCCGACAACAGAGAGGTGGGAGTACGACAGCCAGGGAAGAATCATCTCCAGAGTCTTTGCTGATGGAAAGATATGGAGCTACACTTATCTGGACAAGGTGCTTTTATGTTCACTTTATGTTTGTATCTCTACTTAACAACAAATATCATCTCAGGGCACAAAGAAGAACCAGTTTCACTCAGATCCAGATTCAAATCTGTTTCAGTCCATCCATCCATCCATTTTCTGTACACGCTTCTTCCTTTTCAGGGTCGCGTGGGTCACTGGTGCCCATTTCCAGCAGTCACAGTGCGAGGGGCAGGGTACACCCTGGACAGGTCGCAAGTCCAATCTGTTTCAGTCAAACTTAATAATTTGGGATAACACGATAGTAGATGTAGTTTGTAATTATGCTTGTTTTAGTCTTTATTTCCAGTTTTGGGGTTTTATAATCACAGGTTTTATTCACAAAGTAAACATCAACAAACAAATAAAAATTTTAACATACATAGAAGAGGTGATGGCTTTAAAATTTAAAAAACTTGTTCTTTGTAAATGTCTATAAAATATGTATTTTGACATTTTTAAATAAAATGACAATCATTTTTAAGGGGAACTGTCCCCATCAGATTTAAATTTTAATTAATTTAAACCCCACATTTACCATAAAACATTAGTTCATCCAGTGTTTCTCTTCTTTAACAAATAAATTTATTTCATTTTACCTATAGAAAACTCACATTAAGTGTTTTCCTGTGTAGGTAAAAATCTAACAACCTTTTAAAATACTCCAGAATGCAGGAAATGACATTTACTTCTTTAAAAATTTTCTGGGGAAGGACCCCAAGACCCCCCGCCACTGGGTCCCCCCAACATTACAAAWACTTACTCTTGTTTTTTGTCTCTGAATGTTATAAAATCAGTGATATTATCTGAAATTACATATTAAACATCTGTTGGCGAATACGTAGCTTTATATTGCCATCCAAACTGGAATCTATCAGATAAAATAATACTTTTAGAGCTGTCCTGGTGATCCTAATATGTTCAAGCCTCTGTAATAGAATATTATGATCAACTGTATAAAATGCAGCACTGAGAAGTGTGGACACAAGTCCACTGTCTGACAGGACAAGTATGGACACAAGTCCACTGTCTGACAGGACAAGTGTGGACACAAGTCCACTGTCTGACAGGACAAGTTGACAGGACAAGTATGGACACAAGTCCACTGTCTGACAGGACAAGTG